AATAATGGAGAATTAGGTGGCAAATTAAATAGCGTACATTAAGGTTAGAAAAAATAAAGGAGAATTTGGGGAGGCATTTTGAGAGCTTAGACAATAAAGAAACGATTGTAAACACCAGGATTTAATATTTGTTTTAAGTTATCTTGGTCTAATAATCAGTTTTACACATGATAAACGAAAATATCAATATAATGTTAGTATATTCTTTAATAGTTAAATTATCTCTTGAGTATTAATGTACGAATATGTAAATTATAAAGTTTGTTAAGAATTTTCAAGTTTGTTTTGAATATTTCAATAAACTTATTATGGTGCATATTTCTAAAGCCTTTATATCTTCCAACTGAAGTTGTTTAGCAGTAGCATATTTTGTATCACCATTTTCAAAGATTCAATTTCACCTAACCTTACCCACGTGGAAAATGCGTATAATTTGAAGTCCTTTAGAAAAAGTAACTTATAGCATGTTTGGTCAAGTTTTTTTTTTTTAGGCCAAAAGTATTTTTTTTCGCCAAAAATTAAGGTGTTTGGCCAAACTTTTAGATGGAAAAAAGTATTTTTGAGGAGAAGCAGAAGCAGAAAAAAGTAGCTTCTCTCCAAAAGTATTTTTCTGAGAATCACTTTTGAGAAAAATACACTTAGAAGCAGTTTTCAAAAGCTTGGTCAAACACTAATTACTGTTCAAAAGTGCTTTTCAAATTAATTAGTCAAACACAAACTGTTTCTCACAATAAGCACTTTTTTAAAAAGTACTTTTGAGAAAAGCACTTCTCAAAATAAGCTGATTTTAAAAGTTTGGCCAAACAGGCTATTAATCTTGATTTTGTTCAAGGTATAAATGGAGCCAAAACTTGAAATTTATATGTTTAAAATTTTTTATCAATTATGTCCGCTCATAAATAAGTTAATACAAAAATTGGTCAATTCATAAAATATTATCAATATTTGTCAAATGCTTCTAATATTAGCCAATTAGCTATTTGTAGCCAAAACAGAGTCAATTTTTTGCATTCTTTTGAGTGGGTGTTGTTGATATATATTGCGTACATTTTAAGAAGCTTAAATTTGAGTTTTTGGATGATTTGGGAGAGTTTTGAGGTGGTTTGAATTGAAAATTCGAAGTAGAAGATGAACATGGAAAAAGATATATATATGTGTATCATTTGTGTATCACACATGAATCATATGTGTATCACATGTATATCCATATTTACCTGTATGTGATATGCATGCATGATACATGTTTGTTACATGTGTCGCAGAAGTATTTTTTAAATCTATTTTATCTACGAATTTTGATACCAAACTAGTCCAAATCACCTCCAATCTTGCTCAGATTTTAAATATTGCCTCATCTATATATTTTCAAATAGTTTTAACTATACCTATTGGAAAAAAAAAATCTAATTTTTATATTTTAAATCATTGATAATGAATTTTAACTCTAAGCTAGTCTAATTCGCCTTCAAACTTCATCAAATTTTGTATGTTGCCTTATTTATGTGTTTTGAACGAATCGCAATAATATTCATTGAAAAAAAAAAATTGGCTACGTTTTTTGAATAATGTATATCAATGATAATTTTAGTCTGGCTATTTTTGATAGTATGACTAAAATGGCTAGTTATTGGTAAATAGTGTCTTTTTTTGGTATACTCCCGTAAGATTTTCTTCTATATTTTTCTACTTTTTCTCAAAAATATTTTTTTTTCATTTAAAAGCTTGGCCAAAAAAACTTTTGACAAAAAAAAAAAAAAATTTGGTCAAACAGGTTTTGAAGAGTTTAAAACCCAGGCGGACTCCACGTGGCCCAATATCGCAGCAACTCGTAATTATTACTCCTGAGAGAAGTCTCGTTCTGCCAAACCATCATTAATCGCATGGTTTACTAGTTTGACATGTGCGATCCTTTCACGTACTCCAATTCGTATGCTTTACAAGTTACAACCTTAATAATTATAGCCCCCTTCTTTTATTTTTTGGTCAAACTTATGTTATAGGTCTCCTATGAACCTTATACCATGTAATATTAAAATAACGGGTTCAATTTGATCCGTAATTTTCGATGTTGAATATAAATATAAATTTATTAAATTTATAAAGAAAAAATTAATAAATATAAATTCATAACTTTAATAATATTATGGGTTCAATATTAAAAATCTTAAATATTAAATTTATAAAATTTAAATCTTGAATCTGTCTGATGATCCGTGCACGCTATAAAATATATGATTAGGTAGCAGTTATGGTGAGTTACTGCCCTATACGCGATGAGGGCATTTCTCTAAGGTCTACCAATTACCAAAAGCTAACTAAGGGTAAGCACTAAGCACCTCTGTTTTAAAAGGCGTTTCTGGGGCGAGGCGTATCAAAAACGCCCCGGGGCGATGGTGTGGGGCAAAAGTCTCAAGAGGCGTACGCCCCGCAATTTGGGGCGTACGCCCGGGCGTTCGGGGCGCTTTTTTTAGTAAGGAATAAGTCCTAGAGACTTTTTCAAATTAAAACAAAATTTGTTGAATTAGTCCTTCATATAATACCCAAATTCTCATAAGTAAGTTTGATAATTACTCAAAAGGTTTAAAAAGGAACTCAAAAGTATTAAATTTAAAAGTAAAGACCCTTTTTATTGATTTAAGCCCTAATTCATAGTTTTCCCAAATATTTATCTTGTCCGCTAGTCTGCTAATATCTCCCAAAAACAACGAATATTTAAAAAAAATTTACAAATACAAAGAGAACTACTTTTTTCTTCATAGCAGTAAATTCAAAGTTCAAATTGCAGGTTAATCATCCTTTTTGTTCCTCCATATAGAAAACTTTATTCTTTTAGACTCAAATTACTTGTGTTTATAAGTAACGTATAATAGATTGTTTTGATTAGTTTTTTTGTGGGGATGGAGCACACATATATATATAGTTTTTTTCAATTTTTATACAATTTTACCTATTTATAAATATTAATTGTCATTATATTATTTTATAAAATATTAAAAATTAAATACCTATGGGGCTTACGCCCCGCTGAGGCATATGTAAAACGCCTCGCCTTACGCCCACGCCTTTTAAAACACTGATAAGCACTATTAAAGCAGCTAATTTTAAAAGAACATTTGCTAGTGCACACAAACACAAGGATATGACCCAATGATCAATGAAATACGTAAGGATATGACTTTAAGACTCATTTGTCCGTAGATATTTTTCCTTTTTCTGAATTTTTGTCCAAAACATGCTTGTTTATGAAATTTTACAAGTTTTTGGGGTTCAAAAAATGAGTTTTAAAAAATTTCAAATTTTTTTTTCACACTCACAAAACTGTAATATTTTTTCAAGTGAAATGCATGTCCAAACATAATTTCAAATTTCAAATACCATTTTCCAACTTAACTTCAAATACTACTTTTTTTCAAACATTACAATTTTATTTCCAAACGCCTACTTAGAGACCAAAGTTCAAATTCTACAAAAACAAAAAATATTATAGTAAGTGATTTCTTCCTATTCGTATATGTCTTGATAGACAAAGTTAATTCGTTATCTATACTGGTAATAAATAATAAGTACTTGGTGGAATAGTCGTGATGCTTGTTAGGCCATCCTATTAAGAAATAAATTAAGAAGGATCTCCAAGTCAACAGCATTACAAGTGACCACCCATAGATTAGCAGTAACAGCTGGCGCAGTTGGAGGAATTAGTAGAGCCTCAACTTAATGCCCTATAAATGATAGGTTAAATGGATGGATTAAGCTAATAGGTAATCTCATTGCGTTCGCCAAAGCACTTGAATTCTGTTCAAGAACCTGTTTGGAAAGCCACCCAGTAATTGAATTTGAATTTATTACACAATTTTGGCATGTTTGTTTAATTAGTTGGTCATCATAGGGAGCTGAGAATTGCTGGTAATTACATGGTGTAATTATCAGGTTATTTTTTGAATCTTTTTTCTTTTCTTTTTAATACTTTTTATTTCTATTATTTTTTTCTTTTTAATTTTTTTAACTTTCTAAATTCTTTTTCTTTAAATATTATTTTTTTACATTATTTATTATTTATTTCCTTGTTTCTCATTTCCCAACATTTACTTCATGCATTTATACATAATTTCTCATATTTTATTTCTTTCTTAATTATTTTTCTTTATTTTTTTATTACACATAGCTATGTTATTTTTCTTATTTTTCTAAAAACTTATACCTCATAATATTAGAAAGAACAAGTCATCCACAGACTTAACTTATAATGAGTGATATCATTAAAGTTGAACTTTGTGTTATATACAAACTTAACTATGTTAAATAATAGATTATTTTTTAATATTTAAATAATATTCTTATTTTCCAACCTTTAGTTTTTGTGATTTCATGTAGTTGTTCATATTTTTTAATTTTTTTTTATTTTTTTATTTAGCATAATTGTGTTATTATTCTAGTTTTGAAACTACTGCTCCTAATATTAGAAATAATGAATCATTAATAAACTTAGCACATAATGAGTGGTGTCATTAAAGTAGAATTTCATTGTTGAATGAGGTTGTAGATTTATTGTTTTTCTTTTCTTTTGAATTATATTTACTTAAAATTAAGTTGTAACTTATTTTATGTTATATTGTCATTTTACATAAGAGTATTATGTTAGTTTTTTTGGATTTTGAATTTATGTTATATTTTTACTTCTATTTTATTTACTTTAGTAGTATTCACTTATTAATTCAGATCTCATGTCCTTCATTTTTCAGTTATAATAGATAGATTAATTTTTTCGTAAAATATTTGAGCAATGTTATTGTATTATATTTATAAATATTAATTATTTTATCAAGCATGCAGGTCATGATGTTCTTAAAAATATGTACTTTTAGTTTTTATAATTGATTAAAGTAAAATATTATTAATTTAAAAAATATATATATCAAGTATTTTTATAATATTAGTTACAAATATAATATGATTAGTAATTAATATATTTTAAAGAAACAATATCTATCTTAAATGTCAAATTTAAAATTATTTATAAAAGCAAATATTTGTTAAATCGTAACTTTTAATTTTTGATGATTAACTTTATATGTAAAATTTAATCTAACTATGTAATAACACCTATGTAATCAAACAGTACACTTGTACTTACATTATAATTACATTGTGACAAACAAACATGTCATTATAATTATAATATTGTGTAATTATTAGGTTGTGTAATTATTATCCTAGTAATTACATCAATTCCAATTACCTCGTGGCATTTCAAACAAACCCAAATGTTCAGGTAGTGTGCGATTGAAGCTTTGGGTTGTCAAATTGCGGTTTGAGGTAAATGGATTTTTTTTTTTCCATTTCAGTTGTCCATGCATATAATGCAGTAAGTATTCTTTTCCATTTCATATGATATTTCTCTGGGAAATTTGTTGTTGCTTGTGACTTTTAGTCATTTGAATCTAAAATGTTAAAAGCTTGAGAATTTTATTTTTTTGTTTGCAGTTTCTGTAATTATTTTTTCTTTATAAGCTGTAATTGTTATTATTACGATTTTAATACTATAATTCTTATTCGTCATATGACATTAAGATTTTTTTAAACAAGTAATCTGATTGCTAGCTCCACTATATAACTTAAGAAACAACTAGCTAGATGATGAAAAGAAGAACTGTAGTTACTACTTGCTCTTTAATTATTGACATTACAGTATAATTAGTTGAATAAGTATTATTTAGTTATTAGAAATTCCACTAGTATACTAGTAAATTTAAGATATTTTTGACATTTGGGACATAATTATTTTAAGCAAGAAATTAGCACAAAGAGTTTTATTAAGCTGTTATTCTGTGATATATATATTTATACATGTAAACTTTAGATATATAAATATATTTTTTCAATATTAGTTTAGATTAAAGTAAATTGTGATAAATAGGTTTTGTGAGATATATTATTAGTTTAGAAGGAAGGACCAAAGGAGCGATAAGATATAAATCAAATAGTCTATGCTTTCTAGTTTAAAATAGAAGAAATCAATCAACAAAAAAAGGGGAACTGGAAACAAATTATTTTTCATTATTGGTTCTAAAAGAAATCAAACATGAACTGAGAAACCAAATATATACTGGGTTATTTATCTTTAGAATACTGGTTACAGAAGAAATAGGATCACCGGAAGAATTTTTTCGTTTGTACATTGTACACACTAGAAAATGTTAATTATTTGCAGCATAAAATGAGTAGGAGTTGTTGGGTTGAGTAAGTTTGTTTTGATGATTGACAAAGAAATACATGCATAAACCAGGATCATACACAGTGTACACGGGGTACGGGCAGATTCAACTACAAGACATACACATGAAGGTGATAAGCACAAATAATTATATCTTATATCTCCTGAACGAAAAAGTTGCATAATTGATAAGGAGCAGGACTCCTTACTTGAAGAGAATTCTATCCTAGATAATGGAGGAGTTAGAAGTTGAAGATAACTAGAACTCTTCCACCATGGAAGAGTATAGCATTAGAACTCTAGTTAATCCTATTCTACTAACTCTATATATTTCAGTATGTTCTCATTTTACAGGTACGCAGAAACGCTAAAGTTAAACGAGAGTTGAGAGTAAAATAGTAAGGCATTTTGCAAGCAATTCATGTGTGATTCAAGTGTACGAACCTGAAGCTACATGAACCGGATAGAAGAACTAGTTCCAAGTGCCTGTCTTTTATTCTAGTTTCATTATTGTAGGGATTTTGAGTTGTACTTTTCAGCTTTCTCTAGAAGCAATTGTACTAGGTACTCTGAGTGTATTATTTAAGTTAGAGTTAACTTAAAATTATCGCAACAGCCTGAGGTTGGTTGCCACAAAGGGTTATAGGTAATCCTTAGATTTACAAGAGTTTTGTAAACATTATTTTTGGCTCAGTGATTTAGTGATATGTTGGAAACAATCCTACTGGGTAGTAGGTCGTATTTTTTCCATCTTTTGAGCCAGATGCTTTTCCACGTAGAAATATTTGTATTCTTTACTTTCTGTATTTATTATTTCGCAACTGTAGAGTAAGGAACACGTAGAAGAACCAGGTCCTTCTATAATCTGTGCACACGAAAATTGGATATCATTTAAATCACCCCCTTTTGTGTGGTATTGAACTATAAAACATCAATTGGTATCAGAGCGGGTTATCCTTGAAGAGGCTAATACCTTATTGGGAAGGTCAATCCACTACCGCACATCCACCATTTCTCATTCTTTTTTTTTTACCATGACCACGTTGGTGACCCATTGGGGGTATTTCGAATCCCAGACGGAGCCATTATCTAATAATTTTTTCACCTCTTTGCGTACTGCATCATTAATTGCGGAGTTAAACTTACGCTTAACCTGCCTCACCGAGGGGTTGAATGGATCGACGTTCAACTTGTGCGTGGCGATTTTCTTTGGGATACCTGGCATATCTGCATGGCTAAAAGCAAATAAATTTGTGTTAGTAGTTAAGAATTGACGAAACTTACCCGGTTCCTGAAGTTTGCAGCCGATGTAAGCTTTCTTGTTGTAGTTGTTGCTATCTAATTGAACGGGGTCGAGGTCTTCTATGGTCGATCCTGCAGCTTTGACCGTATCGGGGTCTCTGATGATGTCCTCGTTGTCATCACATATCGTCCTCGACCCTGTTGATTGCTATGCCTTTTTTCTTTGTCCTTTGTTCGTTGAGTAACCGTAGAGTTTAGATTGATGCGGTAGCATTCCTGGGATGTGCGTTGTTCTCCTCGTATACTGAATATTCCCCGTGGAGTTGGGAATTTTGATGACTTGGTACAAGCTGGAGGGGATGGATCTCATGGTATGTATCCATGGTCTCCCTATTATGGCGTTGTATGTTGTGTCTTGATCCAAGATATGGAATGTGGTTTTCGGAGTGACGCCATCGGCTAGGACGGGGAGTGTGATCTCGCCGGATGTTCGCTCAACTACATATTTAAAACCTGTTAGTGTGATGCAGCGCGCTATTGTCTTATCCTCGAGTTTCATTTGTGCAAGTACTCGAGGGTGGATAATGCACGTGCCGCTGACATCGTCAACCATAATGCATCTTACATCGGTATCTAAAATTCGTAAAGTGATAACAAGGGCATCATAGTGAGGGAAAGCCAAACCGTTGGTATCTAACTTATCGAAGATGATACTTTCTTTGAGTTCATCATACCGTTGGTAGGTGATCGGCTGTTTGAGCTTGTGGGTAGTGGTGAACTTCACACTGTTGATAGAAGCATCGCCGCCGCTGCCAATAATCATGTGGGCGGTGCGGGTTGGCGAGGGTGGTCTCGGCGGTCCTTGATGTTGTTCACGACCCCTGGCAAAGTTGATCCTTCCCCGGTCGCTCGGCAACTCTTTGAGGTGTCCTTGTCGTAGCATGTTTACGACTTCCTGTCTTAGAGCAATGCAATCATCGGTTTTATGCCCTCGCTCTTGGTGGAACTCGCACAGGGAGTCCATCTTTCTGGTACTCGGTTCCTGCCTCATCTTTTGCGGCCATTTCACCTTTAGTCTGAGCAACTCTTTCTCGTTGCCCTTGAACCATTTATGTTCAGCCCGTTCTGAAAAGTCGCGACTGCCATTCCTTCTGATATATTCGGCAAGGTCATTCTTACTCGATTGAAATGAGCGAGAAAGTCCCTCAGTCCCTCTCCTGGAGACTGTTTAATAGCAAATATATCATTTACTCTTGCTTCAGCCTTCTCGGCCCCAACATGGACCGTTACGAACTTATCGGCCATTTCATCGAAGGTTTCAATAGAACGCGCAGGCAGTTGTGAATACTATGTTAACGCTCCTCTCGTGATGGTCTCGCTGAATTTTTTTAACAAAATAGAGGATACTTGTTCCTTGGCGAGATCACTGCCTTTCACGGCGGTGACGTAGTGAGTCACATGCTCTTCAGGGTCGGTCATGCCATTGTATATTTTCAGATATGTCACGACCCAAACCGATGGACCACGACGGGCACCCGGTACCTTACTCAACCGAGTACCAACGTAACGTATCTTTTCGTATCATACTATTATAGGTAAATGAGCCGGAAAGGCTGCCGTGAGATAACTAGAATAAAACATAAGGGAATACTCAATATAAGGTGACCCAACTTGATGTACCGACTTATACATATGATGTACGGGCCTATAAGGCCGGCATGATCCTTAATATACTCAAAATATAGGCCGACAAGGCCACACAAGTATCCATATATATGACATTTGTCTACAAGCCTCTAAAAGTATATAAATATCATAAAGGTCGGGACAGGGCCCCGCCATACTAATCTATATATGTCCAAATTATACTGACCAAATAAGCAACTCCGGAGCGAATGAAGCGCACCAACATCTTCCGCTGAGCTGATATCCTACTTGGAGAACTCTCAACCTGTCTATCGGGACCTGTGGGCATGAAACGCAGCATCCCCAGGCAAAAGGCACGTTAGTACAAATAATGTACCGAGTATGTAAGAAATGAAAATCAGTAAATAAAAGACATAATAGAAATATGGAGTAACAGACTCAACATGTAAGTCTAAATAGCTCTGTAAATCATTTCATATTTATAATGTCATGCATATGCATATAAATATCATACCATGCATAGGTATATGTGTACATAACAACATCAAGCCTCTAAGGACATTCCATCATATCATCTCGGCCACTGTGGGCAAATAATCAACGTATACCAGCTGATCAGGTGGTGGTACGTATATAACGCCGTAACCTTTTTCCATATCCCATATACATATAATATACGCGTATATAACGACATCTGGTCATGGGTCAATGTACATGTATAAATGAATGAAATGCATAAGAAGTACGTTCGTAAGATCTTTCGGTATGTCATAAAATCAATATGCCTTCGATTAATATCATGAAATAAACTTTATCAACTTACGTATTTTATGAGACCCATGAATAGATGATAGAATAATAGGACACATGGGGAATCAAGAACATAGGCACTTCTAGTACTTCTATAAACAGAGTCATTTATGAAAGTTGTGCATTTGCTCATTTCATTTGTATCGTATGGATCATACCAAAAGGAAAGAAGGGATAGCCTTAACATACCTGAACCGATTCTCTTGAAAATCCCTCTAACCCACATCTTTTGCAAAAAATACGTAACGATGGATCGAAGTAGGAAAAAATCTGTATGATGTTCTTGAGAAAGATTATACTAGGCTCCCTTAGAATTGCGAATCCCATTGCTATTACGTAGTATAACTTCGTATGAAATTTTGTTGTAGCAAATCACGTTGCTATCATCTAATTAGTCTCGTATGAATTGCTGAAGCTCTCTTCCTTACATTGTAGAGATATATGTATCTCCCTTAAGTGATTTAGAGAAGTTGTTAAGCTTAATGGGTATGGGGGCCACTTTAGAGATGACTTGGCCACAAATTCCTTTAAGAGTGCCACCTTGCTACATGGTGTAAGAGTCATTTACTTGGGCTTTATCCATAATTACTTGCTGCCACGTTGGGGCTTATTAAGCCTATCCCAATATGTTAATTTAATTAGTTAATCTCCCACTAAAAATTAATAATTACCCAATTATTCACATAATTAAGAATTATGTCAAATTACTTAAAATACTACTCACTTTTAACATACTTTATAGACCTTACTATCATAGTCATGTGGTACCTTGTATGGCACTAGTTCATAAATACCGGGTGTTATAGCTCGAACCGTATTTTATCCCAAATTGACAACCTTCGACGAAACTTATTTTCTTCAACTCATTTACCCTCTGACCTTCACGACTTTACTTATCTCCTGTTATAAATAGCATAAATACTTATAACCTCAAAAAATAATCTCATTCCCGAGTCTACGTCGATTAACTTACGATGAAACTTTAGCGTACGAAAATGCGGGATGTAATATCTCATTTCCGAGCTTTCATCAATATACTTATGGCATACTTTTACGTACGAAAACATGGGGTGTAACATCATTCCCCCCTTTGGAACATTTGTCCTCGAATGTTGACTGATGCACTTATCATTATCATAACCTATAGCTCTTGTGAATACTTTAGTTCTCTCATTGCCATCTAAGCAACTATTCTGTGAATAAATCTAAAGTCCAGGGCATTCCCACCTTTAGGCCTCTTACTCACACCACGGCCTGTGATCTTCCAATCTCGTAACTCTTGCTACCTTCTGCCATGTAGCTTGTATGACTTTGTCCTTATATGTGCGCCTATGCGACCTTTCTCTCATTTGTCATCCAGCTTTTAGCTAATCTCTAGGCCTCACTTTGTGAACATATACAGAATTATGACAAGTTGTACCTCTGGGCGTCTATGGCTTTACTATATCTAAGTAGGTCATACTATACCATAACTCTTACTTCGGTTTACTGTTACTGAGGTCTGCTACCAAACTCTAGGTTACTCTCGTTGCTTATCCTATATGTATAAATCTAAGTCCTTTAATACTTTCTCATTACTGTTCATCTTAAGAATGATGGCCCAATCTCACCTCATAATTTGTAACTTTTATCCATCCATTGTTGATTCACCTCAATATTGATCTACAACCTACCACTGATAACTTGAAACCTCTTGCGTAATCACTAGGGCTCATGTTGCATCGAGGAACATTTGAAGTGATTTTCCTGATCCACCTGGGGGCGATACCATACTTCCATAACCGTATTTCATAGCATCCCAATGTGATTCACCTTACGTGGGTATTTTAATCATGTACAATTCATGAAATCCTCTTTTTTTCTCTTCAAATCATTACCCAATCGAAGGCGCAAACGTCATTCTTTATCTATCACAATTACACCCTCATTCTACTACCAGGGCAGCATTCCATCTTTTCTAAATGCAATTAGTCTTAGACTTCTTTGAGTTCATTCAGGCTATACTGGGCTTTCTATAACTTAGAGAAACCATTAGCTCTATTATTTTCA